GGGACCAAATTGTGTAGAAACCGATACCGTATCAGTACACACCCGGGGAGGTAGCGTCAACGTAGTCGGGGCAACTGGACAATACCAAGTCGATGCCCTGATAGAAAGGCTGGACAGAGCAAAGAATTGCACCAATTTTTCACTAAACAGGGAGCCAACACAACAACACAAAAATTGACTATCAGGAAGCTGGCAAAAGTGTCCCGATACCCCCTATAGCCATATAGTTGCGGTAGTAGCGTGGAGTTCACAGCAGACGATATGCTAGCTGTCGATCCCCTTCACAATGGCCCTTGAACATCATGGAAAAGATAGGAGGGTATGACATGCGTAGATCAATGGTCGACCCCAGAAGTTCCACAAACCTCATCCCAGTCCACACTTTAGAGCTGATGGGTATTCGAAAAGAGGACATCAAAGGACTGTTGTTGGAAATAATGGAGTTCAATGGTAGCCCATCAACCCCCAAAGGGTCTATAGAGCTACAAGTCGCGATTGGACCATTTAGTATAATGCAAGAGTTTCAAGTAGTTCAAGGGAAGACTTCCTACCACGCACTTCTGGGGTGGCCACTGATACACGATCTGGCCCTTGTCCCTTCAACATATCACCAATGCATCAAGGCAAGATACTGAGGGAGGTCAATAAGGATCCCGGCCACTAGGGCCCTGTTTGACAAATCCGAGACACCTCCAAGATGCCGTCTATTTCATGGAGTTGGCAGAGGACGACAAGATGAAGATAACTAAAGTAGAGGGGATGAAGCTGCCACATCCGCCCAGGAACGAGCTTGCAAGAATGTCAGAACGATGGAAGAAGAGTAAATGCGTATGGGTGATAGGGGACGATGGGAAAGAGTATTACACCATCATCGAGGACCACGAGAGTGACGGAACACCCACGACTAAAAAGGCCATCCCCGAGGTATGATCATTATAAATTGTTTAACATAACTTGATCGAAGTATGTACCTAGAGTGAAATCTATTTCTCAAAAAGGTTTTTTTTCGATTTCTATTACTTCCAAAAAAGGCATACACATTTTCTAACCAAAGACTCTAAGTAATGTTTCAACTAGCATTATTTCACCACATCACAAATCGATATTGCTATGATCATGCCATCAAACGATGGCTCAACCATTGAATTGGGCATAGAGGTACAACATTCAGACCATATACCTACGAAAGCATAAAATATCTAAAATTTGAAACAAATGACAATTGAACAACCTCAAGAATCGAAAGAAGGTTTACTAAAATACTGCAATGAAGTTAGGACACCCCCAAAATGCATGAAGGACACCATCGACATAGTTGAAGAACCATTGGAAGAAATCAACTTAGCAGTCGATGGATCTGACAAAAGACCGTTGTATATATCTGCCAAGTTAGCAACCAAGGATAAGGAAAAATTCATCGTACTTATAAAAGGTAAAGGCACACCTTATCGCAAAACTCTTAAAGCCTAGAGCCAACCTAACTCGTGCTCTCCCCACAGAGTTTTAGGATGTATTTGCCTGGTCATACGACCCGATGCCAGGACTTGATCTAGAACTTGTCCGCCATTCTCTTTGTATAGATCCAAAATTTTGGCCGGTGAAGCAGCCGTAGAGGATCATCAAGCCGGAGCTAACGTTAAAGATTGAGGAGGAAGTAGAGAAACTTTTGAAAGTAAGCTTCATCAAACCCATAGCACACCCCCTTGGTTAGGCAATGTAGTTCCAGTGAAGAAGAAGAATGGACAGCTAAGGATAGTGTTTCCCACCCAACTCTTTAGCAATAACACAACACCTAGGTACTAACCTCACATTATCGCAGATGTTGCATTAACTTTAGGGACCTGGACAAGGCTTGTACAAAGGATGAATTCCCCCCTCCTAATATGGAGGTGTTGATAGATTCGACGGTGGGACATGAACTTTTCTCTTTCCTGTATGCCTACAGTGGATACAACCAAATCTTCATGGACCCCACAAATGCGCCCCATACGGCCTTCAGAACGACCATAGGAAACTTTTATTATAAAATGATGCCCTTCGGGTTGAAAAATGCCAGAGCCACATATCAGAGAGCCATGACTAGTGTTTTCCATGACATGATCCACAAAGAAATGGAGTGCTATGTAGAGACATAGTCATCAAAGCCAAGAAGAAAGAGGAGCACCCTGAAGTCTTAAGAAAGATCTTTACCCGATGCGGAAATTTCAAATTGAGGTTGAATCCACTAAAATGTGCATTTGGAGTACAATCAGGCAAATTCTTAGGCTATAGAGTAGATCAAACTGGGATTCATCCAAATGAAAGCAAGGTAAGAGCCATCTTAGATCTGTCATCACCAATAAACCAGTCCCAGTTAAAGACATTCCTCGGAAAAGTTTCTTATCTGATGAGGTTTGTTCCCGGCCTCGCATGCACAGCCTTTCCATTGATGAAATTAGTCAAGAAAGCTATCGAGTTCAAATGGACCTAGGAGCATCAGGACACTTTTGAGTGGCTGAAGCAAGCATTGGCTAAGGGGCGAAAGCCATAGGGTGCCTGTTGGCACAGGAAGATGAGAGTAAGATAGAAAGCCCCATTTACTATGCTAGTAGAACCCTCAAGGTGGCAGAAAAGAACTATTCTCACATGGAGCAATAATGTCTGGCCTTGGTCTTTGCTACACAGGAATTTAGATACTATATCTTGTGGTAAAAATTGTGACTCATCGCACGAAGTGACCCGATGAAATTCTTTATGGTCAGACCTCCCCTTTCTGGCAGACTCATAAAATGGATGATGCAGCTCAACGAATATGAGCTAGAGTATACACAACCTAAAGCCATCAAGTGTCAAGTGTCAAGCAGCTGCTGACCTATTGGGTACCCTTCCATCAACTTCTGACTTCCCTATATCAAAGGAAGTCCCTGGAGACATACCCATGGTTGCCTTGGTAGAAAACAGAGAATGGATCTTAACCTTCGATGGGAGCAGCACGCGCACCTTAGCCGGTGCTGGAACCTTGACCTCTCCAGACGGATAGACTGCTGTGTATTCATTTAAGCTCCAATTCCCCTGTTCCCACAACATAGCCAAGGAGGGATAAGAGGAAGAGATTGACCTATACTATCCTAGACACTTTTTTACTCTTTCTCTTCTCTTTTGCTTCACATAAACCTTAGTTCAGACCAGCCAAGGAGGGAATTGTTTCTTCACTGCTTTCCACTATGCTTTTGAGAAAAAGACATAAGAGATTAAGTGGTTCATATAGATACATGAATTTCAATCTGTTGGAGATCAAAATCAACTAAAGTATTGTTGCAGGATTGGCCTCAAGTTCCAACTATGCCATCTTCAGTTGGAAGGCCGATCTAAGTTTGAATTTTGGCTATTAACTACCACTTTGAGAGCTGCAACTTGTGGACTCTATATCAGGTATTCTCAGTTTAATTTGTATTTCAAATCTGATCCAATTTAATTCAAGTTCAATAAAAAAAATCAGATTTTTAAATACTAGGAAATCGGTTCTTCAGCTTATGCTGATTTCCTTTTTTGTAATTTGGCCATCAACCCTAACAAGTTCGGTCATGAAACAACTGAGTTTCAGACTTCCAATAGTGGTATTGAAGCATTAGTTTCAGTTTTTATACTAAGCTTGAGCAGATTTGAACTATGCATCTAATCGGCCAGAACTAGTATAAGCCAATTTGACTTGCATATCATCTACATTGAGAATTCTGTTCTCAGACTGGGCCAATGATTTGAATATTTAATCTATTTTATTTTCTGACATTATTTAGAATAATTTTGTAGTAGAATCTTGAATTTTTGGGTTCGAGAGTGGTGGAGCTCAAAATCTTTATTATTTGCAAGAATTAATTACATCATGTGATTTCAAATTTTATATGCAATATGTAATTAATTGTTTTCTTTATTCTTTGACAAATTGTCCTTGGATTTTTCTGATGTAAGAACTAGAAAATTAGGGTTTTTCTTTTGTGAATTTCCTTACATAGAGATCTGGGAATCATATTTCTCAAAGGAGTACAAGTTGGGTGCACAGTGTAGTTTGATGGCAAGTTGCAGTTTTCCAAATCAGATTCAGATCACCAAACTCCCAGCCAATTTATTTTATTTGCATATGATTGTTTGCTCTATTTCTAGTGTTTTGATTATGATTCTGTATTGTTAATTTCCAGAACACAAACTTTGAAGTCAGTACATGTTTTAGAACACCAAACCCTAGGCCGGACCAAGGTTTAGTCCAAAGTTATTAGGCCGAACCCATGGTTTTTTGGGGACTATTAACAGCCCCTAAGATCACTGATTAAACAATCGAATTTAGACTTGGATCAAGGGTATAATAGGACAACACATGAACCAGTTTGGCACATGCTTTCAAAACTCAAATTAAGTTAGATTAAAGCAAGAAAAATCCATTTGGTTTAGACTAATATATGATATGGGCCAGACTCTTTTTCTTTTTTCTTTTTTTTTTCAGTTGGTCCCATATATCAAGTTAAATTTTACTTAACAAATGGATTCATTAATGGAATGATAGTGTGCTGATCTAAATGGTCTTAGTTTTTACAAGATTTAAATTAGATTTATTTTATTACATATGATCTTTCGTTCTATGTGAATGAGATTTACACATGGGCCATAAGTGCTTGGCCTGTGTTGAGACTATGGTGGCTTTCTATACCCATCATGGTTGAATGCATATCATTGCCATGATGTCTTATAGATTATTGAATGATCTCCTTACCTATTGGCCCTCTACTAGTTTTCTCTCCAAAGAGGAGAACCCAATGAAAACCCTAGCCCATGGGGGCCTATACAAATCTAACAGTTGAGAAATACACTTGCAGTAATTCAAAAAATATAGGAAGAAAAGAAAGAAAGGAAAAGAAAGGAGAAGAAAGAGATTTTAGCAGTAGGTTGTGGAAGAAGAAGAGCACAAAATTACTTTTGTAAAAACAACATAATTTAAAATATTATACATAAGAAACATTTAAACTAACCTGCAACTTCATTCCATCTTCAGCAACCCACATATAATCTGGAATCCGGGCAAGATGATGTTTGTATGCATCCCCATTTGGATCTTCCACCCAACATGCAAGCATTAAAATTGACTGTGCCAATTGAAGTATGCATTACACAATATATCCATATAATGGGTAAGTAATTCCATATAAACGACTGAACAAAGTCCAGATATGTATGACATTGAGATTGCAACATTTTCTATTATTTGTTGCCTATATTACCTTCTCTACACATGCAATGGTAATGTATCGACTGTTTTGATCTTCATAGTGGATGTGCTTCATTGTTTGTTTGAGGGCCCTCTCCCTTAATTTGTTGAAGGGCCAACGCATTAGAAGAGGCTCAATAAGAATGTAGAGAGTATCCCACAGCAAATCTTGTATGAAGGGATGAGGATAGTGCAAATCTTCCTGTAAGAACAATTTCTCACAATTGCTTAATTATGACGTGACTTTAATTAATCATCAATTAATTAATAAGAGAAACAACATTAATTTAAACCTAGGCACAACAACCTTTGCACACATATGCCGGGTTTTACTCCATCTTATTTTATGGTAAGGTTCACTGTGAATCTCTTCCCTCAGTTGAAGAACGAGAGGTGTGATTGGGCCAACAAACCTCTTTGCATATAAATAGGACATGGGCAAGTACACCAGCCGAGCATAGCACCACAAATTTTCTGTATTGTAAATACCAAAACAAAGAAGATAAATATTGAGGTGAGAGCTAGATATTGAATGCTCAGGACTCCTCATTCATAAACAACGAACTAAATTAAGCTTCCGCAACTCATTAAGGATGTTTGGAACACAGGAGAAGAGTCATTCATATACTTCATTAAAATTTTAGCTATAGATGGTAGGGGTGTACAATCGGTCGGTTCGTTTCAGTTTGGTTCAAATCGAGAACCTAACCGACTATTCGGTTTTATCATATCCTCCAACTGAACTGACCCTAACTGAATTCGGTTTGGTTTGGTTTGGTTGGACCCTGGTTCCACATAAATGACAAGCATTTAATAAGTGTTATTAATGAAAAGTTAAAATGGCTCTGAAACCCAATGGTTTTAATTAATTAATTATTAACTATTATTAATTAAAAGTTTGAATGACCCCAAAGCCCAATGTATTATTAATTAAAAACTAAAATATGCCCAAAGCCCTATGCCAATGGGGAATTGACGAATTGGCCATTTTCAAAAGTAATTAACGATTAATGATCAATTAATGACTAATTAGCATAATAACTAAATAGTGAGTCTAGGTTTTAATTAACTATTATGAATTGTTCATTGGAAAATATAATAACTAATTAGCATAAAGTATTAAATAAAACATTAATGTTTAATATACTTAACTAAATAACAACATTAATTCGGTTTTTGGTTCGGTTTGGATGAAAATTTCAGTCAAATCAAATAGAAACTAAAAACCAATTTTAAAAAAATAAAAACCGAACCGAACGGATAGCCAAATTAAACAAACTGAATTAGCTTATTCGGTTTGGTCCAGTTCAATTTTTGGTTTATCAACCCAATTTGAACACCCTTAACAAATAGAGACCTGTATACTCATGGTTATATATAAGATTATGAACTTAAATTATAATTTAGGCACTGAATGAGTGAGAAAGTGATGCAAACCTGGGCTTAAAGGGAAAAATGATGGAAGAAGCCAAAATTCTGGTGCCATTGGGTTGTTGCCTTCCCATTCATATAATCCAATTACCTGCATCCAAGAAATTTAGGCTCGGTTTGGAAATAGTACAAATACAAATAGATATAAAATAAAACTTAAAACAAGATTTTGTACTCTACATATTTGTATTTGTATTCCATCTAAACAGATCCTTGCACTCGTGTAAACCTTAACCAACACTACCAACAAGATTTGGTTTGACTGAAATATATTTGAACCCAAATTAATGGAAAATCACATTAATTATCTATGTATTTATGTATATTAAAACAAAGCGGTCAAGAAATTCTCTTTTTTTTGAATTTTTTGTTTTTTATTTCATGTCATTTTTGAAACCACCAATGAGATGCACTTTTCCAATAACTTAAATAATCTCTTCTCCTAAAATTTATCCTAAACTACCACCCACACTTTCTACATAATTATCTCTAATTCCTATTTATATCCACAATTATCTCTAATTTAGGAGAGAGTTTCACTCCTAAATTATCTCTAATTCCTATTTATCATCTCCCCTACTATTTATTTATATGTATCTAAAGAAGGTTTAGATTAAAAAAAAATTAAGAATTATTTAAATATTCTAACAAAATTATATAATCACTTTAAAATATTTATTAAAAAGACAAAAAATAATTTTATATTTTTACAAAATATGTCACGAAATTATGTACTAACAATTTAATATATGTTTTCCAGATTATCAATTTAAATGCTTTTAAAATATTTAATAATATGTAATAGCTTTAAATAAATAAAATTAAAATAACAAAAAAAATTAATATTTTATAGATTATTTAAATATTTTAATAACTAAATATTTATCAAAACTATATTTCAAATAGTTAAAATAACGAAATTATCTAATAAGTAATTTTATATTTTTACAAAATATATCACGAAATTATGAACTAACAATTTAAATTATGTTTTTTTGGATCATCAATTTAATTGTTTTTCAAATATTTAATAATATGTAAATATTAATAGCTTTAAATAAATAAAATTCAAATAACAAAAAAATTTAAATATTTTATAGATTATTTAAATATTTAAATAACTAGATTTTAAATAGTTAAAATAACAAAATTATGTAATAAATTTAAAAAAAAAATTCTTTAAAACAAAAAAACAAGTATAACATAATATTTAAATTAATAATAATTTAATAATGAAATTATGTAATAATAGTATAAATTATGATTTTATGGATAATTAAATTCCATAAATAACTATTATTTTAAAATTTAAATATTTTACATATTATTTTAAGTATTTAAAAAATTGGGCATTTTAAATAACAAAGTATTTAACATAACTAGATTTTAAATAATTAAAATAAAGAAATTATGTAATAAATTTAAAAAATTTCTGAAAAGTAGAAAAATAATTATAACATAATATTGAAATTAATAATAATTTAATATTTTTACATAATATTGTGAATAACTAATTTGACATATATCAAGTAATAATTCGAGTATATAACTTTCAAAAATTTAATATTTATTAATAATAATTTGAAACTCTTAATCTATATTTAATATATATCTTTATTGTATTTCAGTAATTATTTATTGTTTTTGAGATAAATGTATTTTCAATGAATATGTATAAATTTATTTTGTTTTGTTATTTAAAAGAAATTTATTGTAATAATATTTTCAATGATTATTTATTAATATTTGTTTTATTCTTGTTATAACTTATTGATTAGTATTTATTAGAGATTAAACTATTATTTGAGATTATACTATTTATTGACTAAGTTAATATATTTTTCGTACTTATTGTATTTTTTATAATTATCAGTATATTTTCAATAATTGTGTATTTTTGCTATAAATTTTCAATAATTATTGGAGACTAAACTATTGTTATTTATCAGAGATAAGGCTATTAATTTAGCTGAAATTATGAGTGTTCGTGAGTTGGTTCGGTTCAGTCGCAGGCTATTTGGCCAACCAAATTAACCTAGTTAGGTTGGGGAGTTGGTTAGGTGAAACCGACTTACCTTTTGTGAAAACCGACCCACTCAAGTTGTATCGATTTGGGTCGATTTTTTGGTTTAAATTAAAACTTAAAAGATAGTTTGAATTCCTATTTATCCTCTCCACCAGTCGGTTTGAATTAAAAAATTAGTCGGTTCAAAAGATTATCTCTAATTCCTATTTATCCTCTCCACCACTTTTTATCTATAACTATCTAAAGATAGTTTGAATTAAAAAAAATTAAGAATTATTTAGATATCATAATAAAAATATATATTAACTTTAAATATATATTAAAAGCAAAAAAATAATTACAATAGATTTAATATTATTCATATTATTAACAAATCTATATTTTTACAAAATTCATCACAAAATTATGTACTACCAATATAAATTATAATTTTATGGATTATTCAATTTAAATATTATTCAAATAATAAAAATTTAACATTAAAAAATATTATTTAAATATTTCAATAACAAAATATCTTAAATAAAAAAAAATTAAAAAAAGCTAAGTAATTATACAACAAAATATTTAATATTATGTAATAAATTAAAAATAAATAAAATTCAAATAACAAAAAAATAAATATTTTAAATATTACTTATAAAATTATTATTAATTGTATATTCAGTAATTATTTATTGCATTGTTTAAATACATTTTCAATAATTACATATAAATCTATTTTTGTTTTGTTCTTTAATAGAATGTTTTCAATAATTATTGGAGATTAAACTATTATTATTTAACTTTTTAAATTTAATTCATTTTACTTATTGTATTATTTGTATTTGTGTTATAAATTTATTTTTTGTAATTATGTATTCTTTTATAATTTATTGATAAATATTTATTTGAGGTTATTCTATTTGTTTATTAATTTTATATATCTTTTAGTATTTATGGTATGTTTCTAATTGTTGTACTTGTTGTATTTTTATTACTTATTTATAGTATTTTCATTATAAATTTACTTTCAACAATTGTGTATTTTTACTATAAAGTTTCAATAATTGTTGGAGATTAAATTATCATTATTTATTAGAGATTAGACTATTAATTTAGCTAAAATTAGGAGTGTTCACGGGTCGGGTCAACTTGGTTATAGGATGTTTCACCAACCAAATCGACCTGGTTAGGTTAAGGAGTTAGTCGCCCAAAACCGACTAACCATTATTGAAAACTGGACAACTTGAATTGTAGAGGTTTGGGTCAATTTTCAATTTGGTGAGTTGGTTCAAAAGATTTAAACATAAAAAAAATGAAATTTAAATTTAAAAATTACATTTTATATTATTAAAAATTTAGTTTACGATATAAACTATTTTAGATTAAGAAATATAGGAATTTTTCCACTTTTTTTGTATTAAAAAATTTAAAATACGATATATATATATATATATATATATATATATATATATATATATATATGGTCGGATCGGTTTGGTTTTGGTTGGTTTACAAATGGCCAAATCATAACGGACCCAACCAGGTTGGGTTGGGAAATTGTTGAATCAAAGCTGGTTGGAAATACTAGAAAACCAACCAACTCGGGTCAAGATGGGTTGGATTTGGTTTCATTGGTTTGATGAACAATCATAACTAAAATTAATTATTTTTTTTTGTATTATAAAAAAATTATTAAAAATAGTATATAAAATATAAATAATTATTAATTATTTAAAAATTAAAAATAAAAAACAATTATATACTCTTATATATTTCTATTGTTAGCTTTCACTTAACAAAGCCTATACATTGCATGGATGCTAACTAGTGTATTATATATAGAAATGGTATATATAGTCCAAGCTAGCTACCGAGAGCCAAGCCTTTCCCCAAGAGGGAATTGAAGTTGCACCACCATGGTCGTGAATCCATTTGCGTGCTCTGGGAACGGCCCCGTCTCGGCCTCCTTCAGGCCCTTCTCCCAGAATCCTCATTGAAATGTAGTTCAGAACTGTAGAGAACATGATGCTCTGGCCCTCTATGTGTAGTCCCCATCCTCCATCTTCATTCTGCAATATTAGCAGGAGCCTTCAGTTATCAACTTATATATATATATATATATATGAAAGTCATCAAGTTTCATATATTCCAAGCTTCAATTCTGCTTCATATATATACCTGATGATTGTATATATAACGAAGAATCTCTTTGCAGTGTTCCTCTGAGATGATTTTGTTAAGATCTCCGGTGATGTATAAACATATGATCTGCATACATATATTGATTATGTATCATCGGTCGTTAATATATATATAGTTCAAATTAAAAAACTGATCATCAATTGATCTGGTTCAGGAAGCGCAGGAGTGCCGAATGGAATATCCCCCAACTTACCAATGGAGGAACAAAGAAGTTACTCCCCGAATTTTCAGCCGGCCAATGGCCATCGCTCGCCTGGAGTGCTGCATGGAACCGGACGGCCCTCCTCAGTACAGCAGTAGCAGCTTCATAACTTACCTCCTCATCCTCTCCGATCCGAACTGGTGGTATGGTTTGAACGAAGTTATTTTCTTTCAAGAGCTGTAGAAGAAAAAGAAAATATTCATCAACTCAACCGTCATCTGGCAATGATTCTGGGTCTAGTTTTAGTGCAATCCGGAATTTTGTCAAAAACCATTCCACCCGTCTGATTGGACCATTGACCTGTTTGACTCCGTGACTGACCTTGACCTTGTGCTCAAACTTCCAGAGGCCTTGACCTTGTGCTCCGGTGTTCAATTAAGGTGATATTTTCTTTGATTTTGGGTAACTTTTCAAAATCTATGCATTACAATTTTGTTATTTTCACAAAATTTTTTGCCTTGAATTGCAATTTTAAATATTTTTTACAAAAAAAATTAACAGTTGAACTAAAAAATATAAATTAAACAAAAATAACCATATATTTCATGTAAATTATAATATTGGTAAAATATGGGTATAAGACTAAGTATACTATAGATATACTTAAATATATAAAACGCTGGTGTGAGACAGTGTGACCCGTTCCACTTGGGCAGTGGAACCGGTGACCGACGACTGGAGACAAAAACAGTTCTGACTTCCGGATTGATTTTTAAAACATTGGTTTTGGCCAAATGAAAATAGCCACCAAGAAGGCTCTTCTAGTGTGTTACTAGCTACTTCACCTGCAAGCGCAATAGAACATCACCACCGGGCTTGACTTTGAAGCGATTATTCCAGAACTCCTGGCGAGCCTGTTCAACCTGGGCAATTTCTTCTGGTGTGCCATAGTTGGGATCGAACTCCCAAATCTGTCGTCCTATGTAATTGTTGGTGCTGTAAATGAAAGGGCCACCTCCTTGGGCAATTTTAAGCCTCCACATTCTGATGGTAGCGTAGCAACTAGTAGTATAACAAGCAGCTTACTTTCTCCCCTCGTGATGATCAGTACTACACCCATAAATGAAATAAATTAAACAGAAGAATTAAAAAATTAAATCCACATTTTATCTAGCTATTTCAGAGCTCAGAGCTACTAATTCTTTAAATGAAATAAATTAAAGAAAACAGTGATGGAAGAGAGAAATATATATGCTAATTAATTTATCATACTATCTTGCAAGTAGAATTAAAGAAAGCAGGCAAGATCTAAAAGTCACCCATATAGAAAGTCGACACAAGAACCAAAAAGCACCACCCCTTAGGCTACCTTTTGTACTACTCTTCTTTCCTCTACCTCCAACACTCTTAAACCCTCTCTCACCCTTCAACATCCATTCTATGAGATGGAATATCCCTAAAAGTGATTCTTGAGGTCGAGTTATCCCCCTCCCCTGGCGCTTTGTGTAGCTCCTCTAGTTCTTAACTATAAAAAAGGAAAGAGAAAAGGACAAATTATAAGTAGCTATCCTGTAATTTGGGGATAGTGACAATAAATACCCTGAATTTTCAATTCTCCTTAAACAAATATTCATTCCCTCCCTTTTCCATTCCTTGGTAGTTGAAATGAGTAAATGATAGTTGTTAAGGATATTTCTAGAATAAAAAACTCTAAATTTTACACTGTGTGTCAGCAGAAGCGTATGGATACATAGATACAAGCGCAAGGTCCCGAAACACTTGTAAACAGATATATAGGACCCGTAATAATCATCACCGAGTACAGAAGACTACTGTCTCTGCCCTCCCACAAATCCCAAAGTATGCTGCCACAACCCCCGAATAGTATTTCTTAAGTGGCCCCAGAATTGTCTTAGAGTCACATTGGGAATAATATCTCTTTTGAATAAGGAAGGTGTTTCCAATGTACCACTGCAATGGCCCCTTGGGACAGTATTGCGAGCCTTCTGTTGGTATACAAAATATCTCACTGTTGAAAAATATCATCACCTAACTCATCATTTTGGTTCAGTTTTCAAGTATTTGGTAAGAGTAGGTTGTCGAAACTATGAGAAAAACTGTAGATGACAGTTTTCAAGTATTTGGTTCAGTTTTCAATGCTGGAAAGGGATAATACCAAAAGAGCTTTGATCAATCAAAACCTGTAATCACGAGTTTAGATTTCCATGAAGTGCATATCCGGACGATTTCTTTTGTAATTATATAGTTCAAATAATATAAAGTAATTTATTTGAGAAAAAAATCAATAGAAAGAAACTTATGTAGTTTTGGGAGGTGAAAACTTTGCCTATAGATGCCATCAATATTATTCACTTCTTTCATATGATGCCTTATCATAATGTCTTTAAAACCTATTACTCATCAATACTATATATAAAAGTATTGATGTAGAGTGAAAGGTTTTTTGAACTTTAATTACTCTATTTCTTTGTTTGAGAAAGGGTATAAAAATCATTTTTATTATAGTTTTAATACCAGTTTTAGTGGCAACTAAAACGTCCATATTTGTATATTTAACCCATATCTAATTGTAAAGTTGAAAATTTAACTTTAACTATTACTTTCCATCTCATTTAATTCCCTCTCATTAAGTCTTATACTTAAAGTATTAATTCCTATTTTCTCTTATAAAATCTTATACTTATGTTATTTTTCACTAATAAATGCTACTACTTAGATCTATGTCAATATTTTTATCAATATAAACCCATATATTTTAGAACAAACTCAAAAATAAAACCATTTTTTATTCAAGTGGTGGATAAGCAATTTAACCGTACAAATCAAATTGAACAACATATGAAGTCAAAGTCTAGTAACAAAATTTTGAAAATATAAATAAATATAAAAATTACAAAAATATAGAATAAATTAGATAGATTTATAATATTTTTATTAATCAACTTAAAATAATATGTGTAATAAACAAGAATTATTTTTATTGATAATGAAAATGAAATACATAATTTAGAATTGACAAAATTGAAATGAAATTATTTTACTATTTGACAAAAACCAACAGTTCAACTTTTGTATCAAAATGTGTTAGCCATTAATATCATGAATAAATAATAAAACTAAATAAAATATAAGAATACATAAATTTTGCAAAGAAAACATTTGGGGCACATGTATAATATTATATATTTATCATATTAAATAAAAAGTAAGTGACATATCAAAATTATATTTACACACAAAAATAGAAAAATTATATAAAAAAATGAATACATGTATAATTCAATATTTACACTACTATTAGAAATATGAATAAGATTGTGGAACTTTTGAATTTAGTCCATATTTAATTGTGATGTTTAAATTGTAAATTGAACTACTATTTTTCACCTCATTTAATTTTCTCTATTTAAATCTTACATATTTTTTTGATAAATGAACAAGAAAAAATATAAACCAAAAAGATAAAACATTACAAAAATAAGAGTTTACCCAAAGAGGTAGACTTATCAATGATTTTTGAAACTTCATAATTCAATCTAATTATCACATATTTGGATGAGGTGTTTATGTAATCATCTAAAATTTCCATACGCAAATGATACATTATTACTACCATTGTCATCATTTTAGCACACTTTTCATTGAATAAAGGAAGAAGAGGCACCATTACAAAAGGAGGGCCCTCCATCATCATCACAATTCATGATACCACCGGTCTTCATTTATTAATATTCCTTGCATCAATTATCATTTGTTTTCATATTCAAGAAAAACTAAACATTTTCTTTTGATAAATATGTATATCATATGCAAAATCTAACTATACATAGGTGTTTCGTATGGCATAGTTAAATGCAAATGATAAACCTCAACAATCCAAGGATCTAGTATAGTTGTTGATCAAGCATCTTATGAATCTTCCATCCATAAATGCAAGGTTCAAAATTTTGATACATTATGCCACATATAGTATGTATCGTATCGTATCGTTGGGAATATAATATTAATAATTATATTTTATTAAAAATATACTTAAAATGTTCGTAAAAACCAAATTTTGAAAAAAAATAAAAAACACAAATGCGTATGGTTGTAAATACAAATACGCCTCTACCGATACATAGGAGCATATCAATACTTTGAACCTTGCATAAACGTAAAAATAAAATCATATTTTCTATTTAGGGGAACCTTAAAAAAATCCCCCAACTTGGTGCCTTTAAACCAACAGGGAAGAAGACAAGATGTTAGACAGTGTATGCCCTTAGCTCCAATCAAATTAATGTACAAATATATTTTTTGTAAATGAGTAATAGTACATTATTGTTTAGAATGTTTTCAACCGTTGGATAAACTTGGGGAGTTTATCTTACCAATGATGGCACTGATGTACTATCAAAGAAGTTGGGGCAGTTTGTCTCAACTGCTAGGGTTAGACCCAAGGCACGTGTATTGTGTTGTTTAGATGAAACACTAAACTCCGACCATGTTTTAGTTATGCCCTAGACCTTGGAGATTGATGGGCAAAACTGGATAATTACACACAACTCCTAGATTTGATTATGGTATTGTACTAGGTGTTGAATTGGGTTGTCTTTGATATGCCAATTAGTGAGATCCATTTAGGAATGGCAATGGAGTGAGGCAGGCCTCTTCCCGTCCCCATTAACGAGGACAAGGTTATTCCCATCCCCATCCCCACAGGGATCCTCATCCCCGCAGGGATCCCTATTCCTCGTGATTTTGTATAATGTTAACCATTTTGTTTTGTTTTTATTTTATTTAAAAAAAATAAAAATAAAATAATTAAAATTTACAATCCTATTAGAAAATATTCAAACATATTCAACCATATATTTAAAAAGGGTAAAATGCAAAAACCTCCCCTAAAGTTTCTGACAATCATAAAAACCTCTCCTATAATTTCATTTTAGCAAAAACCTCCCTTCTATTTTTTATAAAATTAACAAATACCACCCTTCCATCAATGAACAAGACAGAAAACGTTAAAAAGATGATCATTTTTTTAAAATACCTATTTTACCCTTTCTTGAACACTATTCATCTTCTCCATTCAAACCCAAAAGTAGAGGCAACGGCAACACCAGTGACAGCGGTATGGCGGTCCAGACTAGGACATGAGAAAGAGCAATGCATTTCCAATGAAAACATAACAGATTACCAATCAGCCCAGATTATCTTGTAATGGGCAGCATTGCATTTCATTTTCTGGCAATCATGAACTTTTCGCTATCGTTAGCCGTAGAGGGCTTTGCGAAGCCTGGCCAATGACCTACCACGGGCAATTGGCTTTCCGGGCATTGAGAATAACTTCTCAGTTCCACAGTTGCACCTTTACACAGCATTACCGTGCATTTTAGTACAACCTTACTGGTTTTTGCTACTATGCACCAAACAGACTGAGAGAGACAGTCAGACAACGAGGAGAGAAAGAGAAGGAACTTATTGTAACTAAAGTTGGTGAGGCTGCCACGAGGGACGTAATCATAGATGATGAGTTTCTCCTCGGAACCCTAGTAGAACCCTCGTATGCGCACCAAATTGGGATGGCGCAATTTAGCTATAAGCTTGACCTGATTCTCGAAATCTCTGTAACTCTCTATACCACTATCACCGATCCTTCCCACCACCAGTGTCATCCCATCCTCCAGCACGGCCATGTATACTATGCTTGAACTAGTCGCTCCCAATATATAAGCCGATGCTTTCAGCAGAGTCTCCAGCTCCAACTTCGTTTCTCCGTCTACAATTACAAGAGACCCTCCCTTCTGTTCTTGTTGCTTTTTCTGTTGTTCATCACCCACCTTTTCGTCTTCGTCTTCATCACTATCAATGCTCGTCGTCTTGGACATCTCTTCACCGTCGTCATTTTTCTTTCCCAGGCACCAGCACGCCGGCCCTTTCGGTTCCGTTGATGACAAAGGCCAGATATCTTTCCCGTCCATTTCGTCTTTCTTCTCTGCGCATCCTGTACTACTAACCACCTTCTTCCTTCTCTTCCTTATTTAGTAAACATAACAGAATATCGTAGCCAGAACTCGAATACCAGCCAAATCCCCAAAGATGATGCCGGCAATTGTTCTTGGTCTGAGACCCCTCAGCCTTTGCGGTTGAGTCCCATTCATCATTCCAGATGACCCAGTTACAAGTGTCGAGTCTATGGTCTTCGAAATAGCGGAGCAGAAAGAACGGAAGTCACGACACAGGTTCTTCAGTGGCTTCCCGCATAGATTCGGGTGCTAGCGAATGATTCCGTTTTCTGATTGAGAAAAGCTACATTTTCCAGGATTTCTCCTGTGAGATTATTGAGCAAGAGGTCAAGCGTGACATTCCCCGGGATTTGCTATCCAAATTCCGGTGGAATCCTTCCGATGAGCCTATTGTACGAGAGGTTCAAGTAACGGAGGCAGACTCCATCGAAATCTAGTGGCAATGACCTGTTAGTCAGATTGGAAGACAAATCTAAAACTTGAACGACTTCGAACACACTTGGAACACCACCAGTGAAGTAATTGTTGCTCAAGGAAATGACAGTAAGATTTCGAA